GGCAACATCGGTCAGACTGTCCTGCCCTCCATGGCCGGTGACGACTGATCCACCAAATGAGGAGGAAGTCCGCAAGGAACTCCAACTCTTGAAGCGTTACAAATCACCTGGCCCAGATGACTTACCTCCGGCTCTTTTTAAAGATGGTGGTGACTTTTTGACTAAGGAATTGACGACGTTGTTTACAAAGGTTTGGGAACTAGAGAGTGTACCAACGTCATGGAATGAGTCGATAGTTGTCCCTATCTTTAAAAAGGGTTCACGTCGTTCCTGTAACAACTATCGGGGGATAAGTCTACTTCCGATTGCGTCCAAGCTATTGGCTTCCGTCATTCTTCGTAGGTTGTTCAAAACCCGAGAAAGATTGACTCGCGAGGAGCAGGCTGGGTTTCGTTCTGGTCGAGGATGTATTGATCATATCTTCACCCTCCGCCAAATGTTAGAACACCGCCATACTTTTCAAAGGCCAACAATCGTAGTGTTTCTTGACATCAGGGCTGCCTTCGATTCGTTGGACAGGACTGTTCTCTGGGATTGTCTATTGAAGAAGGGTGTGCCTGAGAAGTTTATTAACATCCTAAAAGCCCTATATAAAAACACCTCAGGCAGAGTGAGGGCATACAACCACCTCTCTCCATTGTTCCATTCGAGCAGTGGGGTTAGGCAGGGTTGCCCAATCTCACCATTCCTCTTCAACTTTGCCATCGATGACATTCTGGAAACAGCTCTGATGAATGTAAGTAATGGTGGTGTGGATCTGTTGCCTGGAGAAAGACTTCTCGACCTTGAGTATGCGGACGATATTGTCTTACTGTGCGATAATGCCCAAGGCATGCAATCCGCACTTAATCAGTTGGCAATCAGTGTCCGTAGGTATGGTATGTGCTTTGCACCTTCGAAGTGCAAAGTACTTCTACAAGACTGGCAGGATTCTAATCCTGTACTCACCCTGGATGGTGAGCAGATAGACGTAGTCGAGAAGTTCGTGTATCTGGGTAGCTGCATAAGTGCTGGTGGTGGTGTGAGTGATGAGATCAATGCACGAATAGTGAAAGCCAGAGCGGCTTATGCCAATCTGGGCCACCTTTGGCGCCTTCGTGATGTTAGTCTGGCTGTAAAAGGTCGGATCTACAACGCGTCGGTGAGAGCAGTTTTGCTCTATGCTTGTGAAACCTGGCCTCTCCGAGTTGAGGACGTTAGACGACTCTCTGTGTTCGATCATCGCTGTCTCCGAAGGATTGCTGACATTCAGTGGCAACACCATGTCAGTAATGCAGAGGTTCGGCATCGTGTGTTCGGGCACAGAGATGATAATCAATTGGTGTCACCATCTTGAAACACCGACTTCGGTGGCTTGGACATGTTCTCCGAATGTCGTCCCAGAGAATTCCACGTCGTGCATTATTTGCCGACTCTGGGACTGGTTGGAAGAAGCGGAGAGGTGGTCAGTGCATGACATGGTGTCGTGGCATGAAAGAAAGCTGCAAAGGACTGGCTTGTGTTGGTCCTTCACGACTCCCTGGTTGGGGTCCGAGAGATGGTGCTACACAGTGGCTAGAGACGTTATCAGATATGGCTCAGAATAGAAGCCAGTGGCGATCCTGCTGTAACCTTCTTTTACTTTCTTCATAAAAAGTGGTTGTATCTTCCTTAACTGAAAGATTTCTTCTGGTTGTACCTTTCCGTTTCCCCCATTATTATTATTATTATTACACTACCTTACACTAATCTGGTCGTTGTTGTCCTTCTTTTTTTCCTTTGCGCTCCTTACCTTCTTTCCTTTTCTCTTCCCGTCCTCATTGTTTTGTGTGGCGCATATATATTTGGTGCCCTCTTGTACCAATATTTATGTGTTCAAATAAATAATGTTGTTGTACTAGTGAATTGATCTTAGTACATAATTTCCGACTTATAGTACAGTAAACAAAGGTTAATGATAACTTAAGCTTATTCGTATTAATTTTCAGTAAACATTTAAAGATCAAAAAACTTTTTTTTTTTATCAGTAGTGACTGAACTGTTTTACGTAGGAAAGGTGTTCACAGGCATTGATAAATACTATAATGATTTAAAACCATTAGTCCCTTGACAAATTTCGATAATGCAATGAGAAGACGAAGTTTATTAGAATTGTGTGATCATAGATTTGCGCAATACATTCCGAACAATCTGATTACACATATACTTGTTAAGAACATTTATATATGAAAATTAAAAGGTCAATTAGACAGGTTAAAGGTAAGTCATAACAAAGGAAAAATAATAAAGCACACAAAAATAAATGTGATTACCACTCTGGTTAATAAATCAGTAATATCAGGGTAGGTTAAGTGTAAGCACAAATTGTTTTTGAACACATAAAGGGGGTTTCAATTTCTGTATAGCCAAGGCTTCAATAAACCTTAGTATACGTGCTTGAAAGCTTTTGTCTAACACTATAATGATTATTGATATTATCAGCAAGGGATTTGTGGAGATTTTAGTAATTTTATAGTTGAATTCATGAGTCAATTGACGCTAAACTATATTGGAAAACCTGGAAGCACTGGACGACCGTTTTGTCCTAGTATGGGACTTCTCAGTAATGAAACTGGTAGGCTCTGGGTCCGAATCTCGTAAGGTGGGATTGTGGGTGCGCATTTCGTACTAGGACGAAATGACCGTCCAGATCTTCCAGGTTTTCCATAGTGGTCTAGCTCCAATTGACTCATGAATTCAATTATTAAATGAAAAAAAAATAGTTAGAAAAAAAATACAAAAATCGCCATGTGTTTAATGATATCCCACCTCTCCTACAATGATTGAATTAACATAGAACTGACAAACATTAAATACTGTTACAGAATATCTATTGAAGAGATATGTTAGAATGTTGCTAGCTATGTCAACTTCAAGTTAAAATGTTAGAACAAAAGACTTTGTTAAACATATCGAACAGTTTAAGTATTATTTGTTAAACAAACACATACGCTTCTGGATATGAAATCAACTAGTAGATTAGAGACAAGAAAAGAACTAGTTCAATACACTGGTTAATGACCTCATCATTATCACAATGAAATAAAAATCACTACTTCTAAAAGGTCATACAATGAAGTCACAAGAATTAGGTTAAATAAATGAAATAATACCGTTATGTTTTCGATAGTTAAATTTGGACTATATGAAAATGTAATATGATTTACACCCTTACGTTGAGACAAAATACAGCGCAATTCACACAAACACCCATGAATTTACACATACATTCACATGTACACAATACACGTAAAATAACCAGTGTACATTTATAGTCTGTAAAAAAAAACTGTAAGCATAAATAACAAGTAAATAGACTATTTCAATAAAGTGTCTAGACCTGTAAGTGATAAGTTAGGTTGTTCATATATATGAAATCACTCTTAAAACCATTGAATACCATGTTAAAGTAAACAGTTGTTTTGTTCTATTCTAAGACTACATAGCAATATACTTAACACATCACTTACAACTGTACAATATACAAACAGTGTTAAATTTCATTAACTCAGTAGTTTGATAAAAGTGTGTAGTGCCCTCAATTCAAGATTACTAATGTATTGTAATATTGGAATCATAATCTGGTGGACACATAAACTCTGATCTGTTAAATTGTGGTGTCGGGTTTCATATCAAGCCCGCATAAGTTATTCTAGCTTTCGGAAAAACCAATTATTCATTCTTTTCCAGTAGTCTTATTTTCATCTTGTTAATCATTCGCTTAACTGATTGATGCAACCGTGTGTGTGTGTGTGTGTGTACTTCTTATCTTACTCATCATATGTCTGTAATTTATTTTGTCAGACTATAAAATATTGAGTAACGCTTGGTTAAATTGAGTTGGCTCACTCACCATCTCCACTTCGCATCATTTTCATTTCGCCTCGTTTTTCTCATCTTCTATCCAGATCAACGATGATATGAGATAAACGTATTCAAACTTCATTCTCATCATACGACTTATTTAATTCCATTATTCACTAACGCGATTTAAGTCTATGATTATATAATGAGGATTGACGACATATATATTTCAAGAACAATCATTCATACAATTCAAATGGAGTTGAATTTAGGACCACTAAAATTCATCAACAGTTAATTGCCATAGTGTATAGTTTTAGAGGAAACAATGTTATTGGCAGTCAGTTAGTTGCAACGTAGAACCGGGCACATATATGCATCGGACCAACTTGCCATACCTCATTAGCACAACAAGACGAACACCAAATTCATAGAAGTAGTTAGTTCAGTGGTTGTAATATAGAAAAGAAAGATTGGATATAAGGACATAGTAAGAATTAATTCGTAGAAAGAAAGATATGAAGCGATTTCAATCTCATGGTATTGGCAATAAACTAACTAACAATTTAAATATCTGATAAGTAGCGGTTACTAATCGACTAGAGTGTATAAAATATAAGTGGAGTTTAATCGTGTATTGGACTAAATATAAATTCCATTTAAATATCAGATGTATTTTATATACGTAGAACAACAATATCGCCAGTAAACCATAAAAGATGTACAGAATAATAGAATAGTGATTAGTTGAATCAGTTGATATGTAATCAAAAGGGATTTTGTGGAGATTGCAGTAATTTCAATAGTTGAGATCATGAGTCAATTGAAGCTAAACCACAATGGAAAACCTGGAAGCACTAGACGGCCGTTTCGTCCCACTGTGGAACTCCTCAGCACTGCGCATCCACGATTCCGCCTCGCGGGATTCAAACCCATGATTTATCATTCTCGCGCGCGAGCGTTGCTTGTGCTGACCAACATATTATTGGTTTAGCATATTGACAAGATAATTGAAATCGGTATTCTGATTAGCAATTTTGTCACGTGATAATTGACAGGAGCAAAAGTTATAACATTACCCTACATTTTTAAGACATGCGCCCGTATAAGAATGTTTTAGAAGAAAAATAAACAAAACGCTATGAAATCTTAACATAAACAAAACCGATCAAAATAACTCACATTATCCCAAAATGAATTTATACCACTTGAGATTACTAAATACAACTTTAAACTCATCAATACTATCTTGATTTGTAAGTGGTAGTGATAAGCTGTGAAACACATTTAATTTTTGTAACATTGGTAATGTAATTAAACCAGCTGCAATCGATCTTCCAGTTAATGGATCCGGTAACCAAGTGACAAATGATGACGGGATCGGAACAAAATAATCACTATGATTGAAAGGAAATATAACAATTGATTGAAAAGTTCATAGATAGAAAATTATAACTTTAATTACTGATCTAGTCCAACTGTGAAACAAGCGGATAATGATCAAGTATTATCGTAAAATACCAATCATTAATTGCTAACTCAGTGGGTCCAAACGCTAAGCATTCTCTGTGAGAACTGAAGTTAATGGGTTCAATCACTGGCGATGAACATGAATTAACATATTTTAAACTAAGATTAAACAACTTTCCAGCATACTTTGTTGTTTTTTTATTGGTTCTCAAGCTAAAGGTCAATTAATGGTGAAAATTGTTCATAACTTTTGTAGGATCTCCAATTAAAGACATTAGTTCATATTGATAAATTTATTCAAAGATGTGTTAAGTTCGCTACTTGATTAACGCAAAATACGGTATACAACTACGGCACTCGACCGTATAGAACCTCATAGTCGCAAATCAGAAGACTGGAGAAGTGCTTGATGGGTTAGAATCAAAATGTACAGAAAATCAAGGGTATTTATAGATATTAGCATTTGTTATACCAAGATTATAATTCAGCCATTCCGCAAAGAGGTATGTTATGTTACTGTCCGATAGTAGCATGCCACGTTGATATTCTAGAATGCTCCATCACGTTCTGATTGGATGTAAACTTTTCGGCTCCTTTAGGGCCTTTGGAGGCTCCGTTGTAGTTCTCGGAAGTCGTCCCAACAATATGACTATCACCAATACATATCAAGTATATTTCACTAAAAACCTATTTCATGTATATAGTTACGCTACGTAAAACTATTCAGTAACTCATGGCATTGCATGAACTAACGTGTAAAAACAAAATCTAAAGAATAGCCAAGATGACAACAACCGAACGTTCTGAGTTTGAGTCCCGCATGCGATATCATGGATGTGCATTGGTGAAGATTTCCGTACCAGGACTAAACAGGTATTCAATGCTTCCTGGTTTTCAATGACGTTCTAGTTTGAATAAACTGGTGATTTGAACTGTGAAGATGAAAACAGTTAATTTCTGTGCACAAAATAAACTTGTAACTGCTTACCAATGTTTATTACTTGTATGATTTACTTCAATGCATAAATGAAGCCAGTCGTCTGGTGCCTGAAAAGTTAAGAGTAATTAGGCAATTTCGTTTTTTTTGTTCTAAATAAGGATGAGAGGTTTGTGAACATTTACTTAATTAGAGTATATTTCATATCATTAAGTGATTGACTAACTAATGTTAGTAATATATAATCAATTAATTGAAACTGAAAATAAAGATCCACTGTATACTTACACGTTTATTGTTATCCAAAGGATCTTAAAGGATTCAATGACTAGTACAGTCTTGGATGTGATAAAAACTGTTGATATGTCTCATACTATGACACAATAAACTTGCTTAATGCTTCCTTTTGGTTTTCTCATGGTTATCCTTATACAAACTGTGTGATAGATTGGACTTACAAATTAACGGTTCAAAAACAGTACGTTAAAATAAACAACTGTTTCTATTCAAACAGTTAGAAAGTAGTATCATGACTCTCGTATACAAAAAAAATGGACAAATAAAGAATCATTTAATTTGTTATCTACAACAATTGCCTCATTATCGACTTTATTAGCCTAATAGTTAATCTATGGAACACAAAAGTCCTGGGTTCAAGTTTGTGTAGAGTAATAACTGCACAATACAGCGATAAAAAACCAAGACAAAAGTGTAGTGAAAAAAGTTAGTACTTGAGCCGACTACAGTTTAGAACGGAAATTAAGTTGATACCTATTATTAAAGACACAAAAAACCACCTTAATGAACACCTCATACACTATTATTATACATGTTATTATTCATTGGTGACCCACTAGTTTACTGTTAATCACTAACTGAAAGAGTACACAGTTATATTGTGGGTCAGTACTCATTTTAAAGATAATTCACATGGTGTATAACGTCTGGAAATTTGAACCGTTCAGAAGAGTTTGACCAAAAACAGATATTTATCTGGGATGACGTCTAACTGAATAAGACAAAATCTACATATTAAATTCTATTTCTGGAAATATAACGCCACTTAATAAAACCCTTCGGTTGTATTATTAACAGACTGACCTCAGTTGGGGGATCCCTATTGGAAAGCAGGGAGAAATAAACAGTCACATTATCCTTGTATGAAAATTTATAGCAGTGCCCATACGTATAACCTGACCAATGGCACTGGATTATCGCAATAATATATTGCAAATAGAATATACCACTGACAGCTGATTCATTAGTTGCGATGGTTGAGAAGACCTGAAGGCCCTGGGTGCGATCTTTAACGGGATCATGGTAGCTCATTGCAAAAGAGTCCTACACTAGGACAAAACAGCTTTCCAGTGGTACCTAGTTTTCAATGGTATTAAAAATGAGATTAAACTGTAGGATAAATTCATCCCATAAATTCTTGATAAATATATAAAACCTAAACAAATCACTACAATAAACATAGAATTACATAACTTACATTAGTGACCAAGATCAAAATATGTTGTCCTGGATTGAAGAAAAATGGACCAAATTTAACTAGTAGACCATTATAGGGCTATAAAGACATAATGAGAAAAAATATTCAAACATTTCAATATAATCACCGATCCATAAATGTTGACTCATTAAATGAACAAAAGAATTATAGTTTTAATAGTTGAGATCATGAGTCAATTGAAGCTAGACCACCATGGAAAAACCTGGAAGCACTGGACGGCCGTTTCGTCCTACTGTGGGACTCCTCAGTAGTGTGCTCACACGATCCCTCTTCACGAGATTCGAACCCAGGACCAATCAGTCTCAAGTGCGAACGCTTAACCTCTAGACCACTGAGCCGGTATCCGGGTTTTCTATGGCGGTCTAGTTTCAATTGAATCGTGATTTCAACTATTGATTCATTAATGGTGTCAATGTCTAACTTCAACTAATCCACGAAATTGAGTGACACATCCACCATTGTCTTCAGTGAGGTAATACCTCACAACAGACCCGGTGGGATCGTGGATGCGCACTGCTGAGGAGCCACACAATGGGACGAAACGGCCGTCCAGTGCTCCCAGATTTTCCATGGTGATCTATCTTCAATTGGCTCATGATCTCAACTATTAAAATTACTATATTTCTCACAAAACCCCTTCTAATTCTAAAAGAATAATAGATGACTGTTAACTAGTCAGCTCATGACTTCTTCTTCCGTATGATTTTCATAGATAAATCTATTTAATTTATTCTCTGAAAGTGAATCATAAACATAGTCAATTATGTTTATAGAAAAGAGATATTAGTAGATAATGTGTTCAGTAACTAGGGTAACCGTTAGTAAGTTCACAATGTTTTTTCACGATAAAAACACGAATACGTATTTCTATAGCAATAAAGTTAAACATTTCTAGAAGTCATCTACCTATTTCATTATTGTAAGAAAAAAAAAGATGAACGAGTCCAGAATTGGTTGTATCGGTAGATAAGATTAATGTATTTTCAGTAGTTAGTAAATTATTCTGTAAACATTTTGTTGTTGTTGTTTTCAATTTATTCCAAAGTAATGATGTTTGTAAACTTTAACCAATAGAAAAAATTGTCATTATATTACGAACTCATCTTAGCTAGACGAATATTGAATACTTGAAAGCACGGAACAGAAGCTTCGTCTATCCACGACTCTGTCACAGGTGTAGTCAGACATTCAGTCTCGAGCGTGAACTCTTAAGCCCTAGACCACTGACATGAGATCCAACATTGTTAATGTCTAATTTCACTCGGTTCACGATAATGCGCGACCATTATCCATTACCTGTCGTAGGTAACTGTCTCACATCTGACATGAATGAACTACAATGCTTGCGCCTTCTCATTAAGATATCAGGAGTTCCATCTTGAAGCTAGTCACCCTAAATTGAGAAACTAATAGTCAGTTAACTAAAAACGTAATAAAAGTGTCTTATCCATTATTCATTGACCTTAATATGTTATACTCTGTTTTATTTCATTCGCATAGTTAAATGAGTCATAAATACTACTTATGAACTTTTGTCTGAACACCAATAGTTTAACCGACTGTTTTGAGAAGAAAAAACATAGGATAATTCCCATGCCTTATTGATCATGTATGTAATGTATAAAGAAAAGAAAATAGTGAAATGTATTGTAGGACGTGTAAAAGATAGATTTATAGAATTAAACCCTTAATATTTATTTTGATGACATGTACAGTAGTTAGCTAATAGCTACATACAACTATGAATGTAAAGATGGATTTACTGAACAATAGATTACGTTAAATTCACTTGGTATTGTTTTACTTTTATCGTTGTTTAGGACTACAGTTGATCAGTCTCCTATTGGCATATGTGCATAATGTGTGGCTTGTCACAAAATTGCCTTAATTCACAAGCATTATAAGCAAAGATGGATAGTGGCTGGTATTGGAATCCAGGACGTGTGTTTCGCCCTATTTGAGACTCTTCATCAGCTGGATGTGTAGTGAACAAGAACACGGGTGAGGACAATCGATTGTATTTAGCACAAAAATTACAGACTATCTCAATAAAATGTGAATACCATAAAGTCAATCGTCAATTTGCAAAATATCATTCCATCATATCAAACTGTACTGTTCTCGTTGCAAACACTAATCCATTGTCGCCCATTCCATTGTACATGCGTTTTCTTACAATTCCATTGTGCTCTTGCTCTTCCTTTCTTGATCTTCGCCATCTTCTGCTGCCGGACATTACGTTCTTTTAACGCACGTTATATACTACTTATATCAATATAAGTAGCTCACACCACAGATGTACCTGCATCTCAGAGTTGATGTTCACTTTGGAACTCGAACCTAGTACCGTTCGCTTCAAACGCTTAACCTCTAGACCAACGAGCCGGTATTCAACAGTGTTAATGTCTAACCTCAACCAATCCATGAAATTGCACACCATCTTCAACTGTGTCGGATGTGAGACAGTTACCCACTGAATCCCGAGTGCAGAATCATGGATGCGCGTTGCTGATGAATCTCATACTAAGACGAAACGGCCGTCCAGTAGTTCCAGGTTTACAATGGTGGTCTAACATCAATCGGTTCATGATGTCAACAAGAAAATTAATAATCTCCACAACTCTATACTGATAATACTAGATACTTTCCAATTTCTTAATTCAATTCTAGTTTGATGTAAAACATATGAAGTGCAAAACACATACTTACCACATAAAAATTCATGATAGAATTCAGTTGATTTGTTTTATCAATCCAAAACATATCTGATGAAATTGTTTGTGACAATTTGAAGTTGGATTCTTGATAATTATCATGATCATAATGAATAGTATAAGATAACAAAGGTCTTGTAATAAGTAGATTACGAAATACATTCAAACGACTGATAGGATCTGAAGAAAGCTGAAGAAAAGAGAATGAACATTCAATTATAAAATTGAAACATTTACTTTTTCTTATTTTAAAAAGTCAACAGTTACCATTGTTAACAGTAGTTTTGTTAGGGCAAACTTTCATTGGTGTCCATGAAATAGAAAGTTTTTAGAGATTGCTCAATTGCCAGTTCACAGGACAGAACAGATATTATTTGCAAATGAAGAAGTACTGGACAGCTATTCTGATCTGATGTGGGATTTATTAACAATGCGTACGCTCATGAACTCGGAATAGAACTAAGGATCTTTAGAACTAATAAAGATCAACATAAACTTAATAACTGTCTCAGCCTAATTTAGTACTCTTCATGAGAAATGGGTACCAACATAAACAACACAAAACAAATCAAATCCAATAGCTTTCATATCTTTATGTTAACATGTTACCATTTAGTATATTAAATAAGTAGCTAGTGTGTTCCACTTCGATTCGATAAACATGACTTCTATTGTTTATTTTATATATTCAAGTATGTATATTTTAGTAAATCTACATGTGTACTATAGCTAATTAAAAACTTATATATATATGGAAAACCTGGAAGGACTGGACGGCCGTTTCGTCCTATCGTGCAACTCCTCAGCAGTGCGCATCCACGATACCGAAGATGAAACAAAGTCATTATACATAACCCTGAAGGAAAATGAATATCCCGAGAAATTTATAAATAAAACATAGCCAATAAAAGATACCATAGAGAATGCCCAACTGTAAATGAAAAGCCTCTGTATATACGCTTACAATTCAGAGGCGATGGACCGAGTGAAATGCTAAGACTTAAGTTATACAGATCAATTCAAAGGACTTTTAATGAGGGTAAACTACGACTAGTATTCTCCACACGACCAATAATCACTCCGAGGTTGAAAGATAAATTACTTAGACAGTTACCTCTTTCTGTATCTATCAATTCACTGTTCCTGTAGAGCAAGTCATATTGGCAGATATTCTAGGAATTTGTACATTCGGGCTCATCACTTATTGCCAATTTCATTTTGCTTATAAACTGATTCAAGTTAACAACCTCATATTAGTCAGCCCCCCAACATTAACGATCTGAAATTGATTTTATCTATAACAAACAATAATTCTCAATTCACATAATACAATTTCCAGATGATGTACTCTCTGCCTTGAATCTGACCAATGTTATGAATGATTAATTTGGATATAATAATTGTAGTATACATGATGAGAAATTATTGAAAAGAATATTTTTTGTTCATACAATTGTGTTTCTGTTAGTTTTAAAATGCATAAACTTAATAACTTCTTGGAGCTTAATAACTTAATAAATAATGCGTTGGCGTTTAAAGATACTAGATTCAACTCTCAGTACGAATATCAATTCTTGACAAAAAATAGGATCAAGTACATTCATTAGTAGATAAGTTCCAAATAGTAGAGAATTCACATTTTTCGATTATATCGTTACTTATAACAATATACTCTGTCCATAAAAATGTATACACGCATGTATAACACAACAATAACAAAACACAGATTGAATCATGAGTCAGTTGAAGCTAGACCACCATTGAAAACCTGGAAGCACTGGACGGCCGTTTCGTCCTAGTATGGGACTCCTCGACAGTGAGCATCCACGATCCCGCACCGCGCGGGGCTCGAACCCAAGACCTACTGGCATCAGTGCTTGAAGTCACTAACCTCTAGTCTGAGCCATGTTGGTAGACGCAGACTACTTGGTTGGGGTCTGCGTGACTATCGTAACCAATGGTTGGAGACTTGGTGAAATGGCTCAGAACCGATCACAATGGCGTCGGTGTATACACTCCCTGTCTTCCCTTAAACTATGAGATTAAAATCGCTTCATGTCTTTCTTGCTACAAACCAATTTCTTCTTCTTGTACTATATCTCTATATGCAATCTTTCTCTTATATATAACCACCTTTGACATAACCACTGCTATGAATCCGGTGTTCATCTTGTTGTGCTGATGCGGTATGGCAACCTGGACCGATGCACATATGTGCCTGGTCCTACATTGTAGCTGACTGACTGACCTACTGGCTTTGTGCGCGAGCACTTAACCATTAGACCACTGAGCCGGCATCCAACGGTGTTAATGTCTAACTTCAACCAATCCACGAAGTTGCGCGCGCGAATCCAGTGGGTCCTGGGTTCGAGTCCCGCGTGGTGAGGGATCGTGGATGCGCACTGTTGAGGAGTCCCATACTAGGACGAAACGGCCGTCCAGTGCTTCCAGGTTTTCAATGGTGGTCTAGCTTCAACTTACTCATGATTTCAATCTGTGAAAATTTCTAAAAATCTCCACAAACCCCTTCTGATAATAACAAAACAAACCCTGTGAACAAGTTTAACCTAAAAACAATCCATAAAAGGAGGAAAAAAAACAACGAGTGGGATAGAGAGAGAGAGGAAGAAAGAAATAACGAAAAACAGACAACTCACTGAATTGTGTACAAGTAAACCTTTGTTCAATACCAACATCAATTGTAAACACCTATCATAATGAAAATACATTATGGAATATTAACTATGACAAAATTATATATGAAAGAAAAAGGGATTGTTCCAATGTTTTGTTTTTCTTTCCCCTTTTATAATAAATAGAGAGATAGACAGAGTTAATCAGAGAAATATTAATCACATAAAGAGAAGTAAGATAAAGAAATAAATATGAAAAATAGTCGATAACTACATCATAGTTAGAATCATGGACTGATTTCAGTTCATTGAAAACTAGAAAGCAATGGACAACTATTGCGTACTAGCATACAACTCTTTAATATTGTGAATTGATTGAAGTTAAACATGAAAACCACTGTATGCCGACCGAGTAGTCTAGAGGTTAAGCGTTTGCTGCAAGACCTGAAAGTACTGGTTTTGATGCTCGGTGATGTTGTGGATGTACACTGCTAGAAGAAAACGGCTGTCTAGCACATCTTGGTTTTCAATAACTGTCCAACCTATATCAGTCCGTGATGTAAACTTTGAAAGTGAATGGTTTACACAAACCCCTATGGCAATCATATTATAGTATCAAATATATAGGATTTGTAAAAGTTCGCTTTAATATAGAGATAATGGAGAAAAATGTGCACATATGCAAACAATGGCCATACAATTTACGAGAAAAGCTCATATTCCAGGATAACAGGCTATTATTTAGTTGTAGTGGGGAAATGCCAATAACCCACTCTTCCTTTAGGAGTATTTTTTTAATTTTGTTGTTGCCTAGAGAGGCAATGAAAGCTTTACGATTAAACTATCTAGTTTAGAGGAGACAGCATGCTTGAAAAACTCTCCGATATATTTGCTGAAAAAGTCATTTCAACTAGGTCTCTACACCAAATATTCGCTCATCTGAATTTACTACTCATTGGAAAAAGGATATATAAATAAATATAGATAAATTGACTCGGTAACCACAATCTAGATATGAGGGGTAAAGATACTACCGGGCTGCCTAGATCACATCCGGTGGAGTGGGGTTCGAAACTGGGATTACAGGTTGTTAAAAGGTCAGTCAGCAATCAACAAACACATCGAAATCGATCCAATTTATCAACCAATCAGAAAAACTATGGGCAAATATAGAACCAAAAAACAAATCAATGGGAGATACAACAAAAATAAAGTAAACAATGACAGGTTAAAGGTCAACAATAACCAATTAATACTGAGGTCTACAGGACAAGCTGTTAGCCATATGTGGAGAAATTCGAACACTTCACTCATATCCGAAGTTTGTGCTGATGATGTCGTTCAGAATAACGATGAAAGCTCTACAAACAAACCATCCAACTCGGAAAACAAAACTCCATCAAAACCAGATAATATGTACCTACATACATGACACAGTTCCACGGTCAATGTCTTCATTCACTGTATCTGTATTTGACTTTGCTCACCCTTAGGTTTCTTCTAACCTCAGAATTGCTAAATCGATGGTGCCAAGATACACGAGTGATGTTTTGAAGACACCTATGATCAAATACTAGTAACCTACGAATATCCTTTAATTTTAAACAACACGTTTCTCTGCCATTAAATAGAACGAAATGATCTGTTGCACAATAAACTCATCTTTTATTTGGTAGACGGATATCCCACCGACTCCACAAGTGATGTGAGTGAGGAGGAAATCTGTGAAGTAGTGATCACAGTATCCAATTACTTAACATTCACTCGGTTGAATGTTCGAATCCCACTAAACATACTAATTCACTAATGTTAGCATCAAAAAGTATGTTTCAAAGCTAAGTTCACAAAACATGTATTCAATAAATCTGTCAATTACACCTTAGTCAACTTAGCTGGAAAATTAAAATTTTATATAACTTACCAAAGAATACATCGATGATCACAAGACGCCCAAACATGCTGAATTGCAGATGTGGATAAACTGAGTGAATTTAAAACAGGATAAGCTTGATCAATATTTCCAAGTAAATCAGGAACCTACAAAAATAAAAATTACAGTATATTTGTAGGTGGAATGCATACATTTTTATTCACAAATTAAAGCCGAATACGTTACCAACTAAATATGATTATTCGATTCGTACACATTTGAAACCACAGGCTACTAATTTCTTCTTTCTATTATCGGATAGTTTATATTTTATTCTCTAATTATTACTGACTATTGTCGATTTCCTGCATTATCGTAAGAAAGTGTATTCTATGTTCTGAGTCGTTCAGTCACCTCTTCTCTTCCAGATTCTTGCATATAAACCATATCAAAGACACCCCAAAATACAAAGAATCTTCAGGTTAGATATAAACCTCCCAAAAGTTGTATGTTACGGATTATAGTTTATTAAAGAGTTAATTTATGCTAACCAGACGAATGACCTTTAGATTAAACAATAACACAAAAGACTGATAAAAACAAGCAGAGATATCAACCCCTATTGGTTCACCTAGCACTTTATCTCCCCAAAGGTCAAGAGGTGCAGGAAGATAGAAGACTTTCTATTTATTGTATTGTTCTATGACTTAAAAACGTACAAGATTACATCCATCAGTGATAGGACTACAATAAATCACAGTATATTCATAATGAATTCATAATTGATTTTAAACTCAGTAGTAGGTGTATAATTAAATAATAGTAATTTACGTAACGTAAAACAGTTTCATCTTTCCTAATTTAACTTCATCTAAAATTTTCTGAAAATCATTTTGATAAATTCTTACTAAAATATAGACAGTATATAGTATGATGTAAAATTTCCAATAGTTCTTAACACTATAAGCAAAGATGGATATTGGATGGCAGTGGAATCCAGAATGCGCGTTTCGTCCTATTTGGGAATCGTCAGCCGGATAATGTTTACTCCCGGGCTCGAACCCAGTACCGTTCGCTTCAAACGCTATCACATTATCCACTTATATACTGAGTCCTGATAGCCACTTTTGCTTGTGCAATGGGGTGAATTTTAAATTCACCTGGTGTTGTTTTACTTGAATCTTCCCATTGATGTTTAGGATTGCAATTGATCAGTCTCTTATTGGTTTATTTGCATACTGGAGCGAAAGATACTGGGTTCGACTCCCAGAGTAAACATCATCTCTGAAATGCAGGCACATCCAAATGACGAGTCTCAGATAGGACGAAACGCGCGTTCTTGATTCCACTGTTAGTCCATATCCATCTTTGTTTATAAAGCTTGTGACTTCAGGAAATATCAAGACAATCCACACAGTATGCATATATGGCAATAAGAAACTGGTCAATTGCAGTCCTCAAAACATCAATGGTAAAATTCTAGTGTATAATAACCATGTGAAGATCTTAACACTGTTAGAAAATATCTATTAAAGAATACTTTTGAAATTATACCAGAAACTGATAGAACACATTAAGTCATTTACCATCATAATTACCTTAATTTTCAGTTTGTTAATTAACTCTGAAAGTAAAGCTTGAGAAGAAAAATATAGTTTTGATTATTTGATTACTTTCATAGTTCAAGTGGTAAAGTAGAATAGTTTAAAATTTAGTTAACAATTCAATATTTCAAGTAAATAGTGTAGTGTCAGTTATTATTTTAAGCCCATATATCTTATTCTGGATTTTGGACAGGCCCATCTATCCATTCTACTTCAGTCGTATGTTGACCGTGTTAGTTAATTCACTTACCCAGTCTTCATTGTTTTTATATGAGCGTATATATGTGTGTACACTTCTTATCCCATGTCTCATCACATGTCTGTAGCTTATTTTGTCTACGTATAAATATTGATTAACGTCTGACTAAAAATGAGTTGACTTCCCAGCCATCTTCCCTGCGTGTCATTTTGCTTTGTTCTATTCATTCGCTTCATGTACAAAATATATGTATTCACAAATCAATTCTCGTTATTCGACTTATTTGATTCCGTTATTGGCTAACGCGATTTAAGTCGACGATTATATACGAGAATAGGCGATAGCAAACATTTATACGATCTTGGAGTCAGATCTACGGGCCTTCACAAAAATAGCATACAATTTACTTAGTGTACTATTTTAGTTAGCTAGCATGAATGGATCATTGAGTAGTGACCAATTGTATGTTGGTTTAGTCATTCAGTATTTAACAAATTCTATCGGTTCTATTTAATTAAATTTCTTCGTTAACCGTACATTTTTATTCATATTATTCCACATGTACTAAATATGCATATATTACTGAATTCTATAGAAGGTAGACAAAATTAACCATTAAGAACCAGAAAGCAATGAACAGTCATGTCGTTCTATTATAGGACTCCTCATCAGTGTGCATTCATGACCCGAAAGAGACTCAGGAACTTCGGTCTCGCATATGAGCTAAGAAACAGTGGTGTTGAAAACTTCCTCACACTCGACATGGTTGAACTCCACTGGTAGCACATTCTCATTAGAACTCTAGAAGTTGAATCTTGAAGCTAGTCACGATATTAAATTAACTAATATGTAAATCACTGTATTCCATCTCAATGGTCTAGAAATTAAGCGTTTGCACGTGAGACCGAAGTTCCTGAGTTCGATTTCCGGACACAGGGTAATGGATGCACACATCTAAAGAGCCCTGTACTAGAACGAAACGGCCGTCCAGATTTTACATGCTTTTCCAACATAGACTGGTTTGTGATTTCAATCAAATTCAACAACCTCTACAACCACACAATGATATAAATTTTCTACTTAATGATGTCTACGTTCACCAACGAGCCTGAGAAAATTATTGATCTATTCAAAACAGACGTAGCAAAGAAATCTAATTTAAGACTTTCATTAGTAAATAACAACATTTTTATATGGAATTATCATGAACAAATTACATCAAGTCTCGGCATTCAATGTTTTACATTCTAACCAAGATTTATTTGTTCAGAATTACGTTCTCTTTCCAGTAAACAATCTTCAAACAGAGATTAATGGTTGACAATTTAGACAAAATGGCTCAGAATCAGTTAAAGTGGAAGAGCTGCATTCACTGTTTAATCTTAACGAAGATCATTAGTTTCAGTTTTCCTCAAAATTACCTATTGATTCCATCCTGTTGAATCATACGCTTGATGTTCAGTTTGTCTTCTTATCATTGATGTAACAATTGTTTCGATTCCGTTATTCTTCACCTTGTTGGTATTGGCAACTTGAATCAACGAACATTCATGTCCAACTTCATCTTGATTACGAATAACTACCCGAGTCGAAATTAACTTGCTCAATAAAAAAAGAGGTGGGACTATAATTTATGGACGACCTTTGTGCGACGCTAAGGTGACCTTGAGAGTGGCCACCTAATAACTAGGACTAATTGAGGGTTATAAATTAATATGAAGAATTAGAATTTTAAGATGATGGTTAAGGTAAGGAATTAGATTTATCGTTTTTCAACATGAACTGACATCATCTATAATTCTAAAACGCTATTTAGCCAAATAAATGAATGAATTTTGAGTCAACATTCAAGACCTGTTATCTTAAATCTGATTGATTTGTCCATAAATTATAGTCTCACTAAAAAAGCTTCCAACATTCCGAATGTAAAGTTTGTAACTCATGTTTTAAGCTAATACTATTTTCGCTATTAAATATAAACCACCTTTCAAAAGGATTTCGAAAAATCAACTTCAAAAGTATTTTATCAAATCACAATAGAATGTGATCATATACAATGTAGGACTAGGCACATATATATTGGTTCAAGTTGCTGTACCTCATTAATTTATTCATTTGGACCGATGATGTCTATATATGTGTGCCAAACGATACTTTGATCATAACTAAATAACTGACTGACATAGTGAAAGAATAGTTAGCAAATTCTAATGAAGTTTTATAAAGAAAATTTGTAATTTTATGTCAATTGATGACTTTGAATTAACGACCATGTAGACTTGTGGTGAACGAGATTAAAGGGAAGAAAATCAATTTATTATATTATACAAAATTATAGAATATCTTCGCAAATTTTAAAAGAGCCATACACTAAATGCTTCATTTGTAAATTTTCTATCAATTCTCTTTTACATTCTGTTTGATTCTTACAATTCACAATTCCTTTCTATTTTCTTCAATTCGACCTTCTCGGCTTTCTTTTCTGTTAGGAGTTCAACTTTTGATTGGTGTTACATATTACTTATGTCTATTAACATAAGTAACATACACCACAAACTTACATCTCGTGTTGAAACAGGTTTTTGTTAAAGAATTCAAAAACGTTGAAAATATATACAGACAGTAATTGCTAATTAATATAAACAATGAATGCTTACAATTCGATCTCGAGAACCACCTGTAATTGATATAATTACTAAAGGATAATTGGGAATATTTGAAATCTCATCCAAATAATTGTGTATACGTTGATAAATTTGCGCCATTGAACGGTCTGGCAAAATAACTAAAGTTTATAGATAAGAAAAACGAAAAAAAAACTATAATTTCTTAAAACAATCAGAGTAGTAGAAGTAGAAACAGTATCCGTGATAGTTTGACTGTAGCTCTCACATTGACATAGAGGTTGTATCTGTATATTAGCTGGAATACCTATTTCCATAGGTTCAACCATGACAGCCACATAGGTTGGGGAACAGTCAAACCGAAAATAATAACTTAGGTCCAGAAAGCGAAAACCTACTGTTAATTGTATTGGGTTATGACTACAGCAACCCATTTTCATCAGTTGCAGAGATGCTGCACTCCCGACAACAGGTTAGAAAATGTCGGCCCTGAAAGTAGCACACTGTTATATCCGAACGATTAACAAATGAATGGTGACTTCCAGGAATTATCTATGACCTATTATTACATATATTCTTACTGGATAATTATTGAATAGCGAGATTATATATACATATAATACCTTTCATTTGACTTATTGGCTATATAGATACGATTTACCATCCTTAACTTCCAATTTATTAGGTACAGTCTCCCACACTCACAGCCACGTTTGGTTTGATCTTGTACAATTATTATTTTTCATTTTATAGTGTGACGCGGTCTGATCTGCTTGTATATGAACCACATATTTCCGAAATATACGATCTATACAGTGAAGTTTAAGATTGTTTTCTGGACTCAATGGGCAGGGCAAGGCAAGTAAAACCAATAAGGACTCAGAGTTAACTCGAGGCTGTTCGTGCTGGTTGACGTATCATTAGTTTGATATAGGACCAAGATCATATAAGTTGGTGTTCTAATTGGGACACAGACCATAATACTAAGGGATCTAACTCTCAATAGTATCAGCTCATCAAACCGTCCAAGTAAATTGTCCATTATTAAGTCAACTTGAGAAATGTATTCGATTTATAATGTAGATGCCGGATCAGTTTCAAGAGAGAGTCATTATTAAATCTCCTGCCAACTCCGCTCCATAAGCCATTAATGATTAAACCAGTTACCGGAGCACAAACAAACAATATGAATAATAATATGAATAAATTAACTATTAAGATATTCTATTTTCTTTATTCAACTTATAAAGGTCAACCAATGATCAATATACTATAAGATAACCACATTTTACCAATAGTGACTAAGCTTTAGGGCGAGACTAGAATTTATGGAAGAAATAATTACATTTAAGATAGCGAGTCTTGGATTTCGATACGAAATTCATTCATCCATACGGCTAAATAGGGTTTTACCATTACAGCTGACGTTAGTTCGCGATAAGAAACCTAAATCTAATTCCTAAACCTCACTTCATACTCTAAATCCCAATTCTGATTTCTCACATTAATTTATAACGCGCTTTAGATCCAGGGGGTGGATTTTCCCAAGGTCACTTTGGCATCGCTGAAAGGTCAGTCATAGACCATCGTCACATCAGTTTTACTATCATAAGAATAAAGTTATGAATTACAATATTGTTCAACTACTTTTAATCAATTTGAAAATCGCTACGAAGAATATACTATCAGATTATATTTCAGGTAGTTGGTAGGAGACCTAGATTTAAAGTTTCATACCAGTATATACTTGTCAGAAAGGTTTACCTACAACATTGAGAAAATTAAAACTCAGTTAAATTAAAATCGATGTTGCCCAGCTTTATGGTCTAATACAATGTCACAGAGCTATTGGGGCATTGACATTAACTGGTCACCTAGAATGAATTAAGCTTCGCCCCAATGCATAAATCAGTGGTTATTTGAACTCAGTAGCTAAATAAATAACGAGATGACGCCTAAAGACAACGGCGCTGTGTTCGAGTCCTCTCGGGTATAGGTACATCCACCTGATGAGTCCCAAGTAGGACGAAATGTGCGTTTTGGAGTTCATTGCTAACCATCATCCATCTCTGCTAACAAAACCTATGTTGTTGTGACGATACAATTGCGCAACCGACTGAATATATGTTTTACGGAATTGCTAGTATTCTGTGTATGCGAATTTATTCATCCGAGTTATCATAGATAGGTAACATGTCTTAGAATCGATCACAGTGACATAGATACATCTTACTCTAAAATTTACGTCTCAGTAATCCTTCATAAAAAAACTTTTTCATTAGTTCTTCTCAAATCACATTTTTATCGTTAATTCTTTATGATTATCATTGTTATTTTGTCGTCTTTGATACTTAGTTTGTTAATTCCATTTGGTAGTTCAAATGTTATATAGTAAATAAGGTCAAAGGACATTTGTTGCTAGGATCTACATTGATAACAACTAAATAACTATAAAACTTATCGGATAACAAATGAGTAATTAAGATAAAAGCAAACAATGATACTTTAATTAAGTCAATATATGCAAAATGGTGATAACTAAAATAACTTGTAAAGCATATATTGACTTTATTTAATATAAAATTAAGTCTAATGTAATGTATAGCCACCTACACAGTGATTCTCTTCTTAGTCAAGGTTAAATGTTTCCCAATAATCCATCATTTCCTGTATCTATGCCTCTCTCTCTCTCTCTCTCTCTCTCTCTCTATATATATATATATATATATATATATATATATATATATAATGATATTTTATGAACTTTAACTATCAATTATCAAACTATTCTAACCTGGTTGATAAATTGGACCAGCCAAAGATAAAACTAATTTAACTTTAGTTTGAGTTATACTCCAACGTGATGATAACAAGTTGAAAATTACTACAGAACCCTATTGAAAAAAAACAACAGTAAAATGAGTGATAAAGGTAGATGAGAATAGGATAACAAAATATAAACTGATTGTAATAAGAGTCCATGGAAGCTAGACCATCATGGAAAACCTGGAAGCACTGGATGGTCTTTTCGACCTAGTATGAGACTCTTCATTGTAATGAGAGAACAAGGGGAATCAATTGGTACAAATAATACATTGACAATTATCCCCCGTTAGTAATGGAAAATGGTTGTGCAATATTGTGAATTGATTGAGATTAGACATGTAAATCAAAGGATGCCAGCTCAATGGTTTAGAAGTTAAGCGTTCATCTGAGAAACCGAAGGTTCTAGGTTCGGTTCCGTGTGTTGGGATAGTGAATGAGCACTCCTAAAAAAACCTCATATCAGAATAATGCTTCCTGATTTTCAATGATTGTCTATCTTAGATCGATTTGTGATTTCAATAAAATTCAACAATCTCTACAACCCTCCATATTGATGGTTATTATTAACGTAGACCTTAGCATAAACATGCTGTAGTTCAAGTTATCAGAACATATTGGTAAAACCAAATAAATTCAAGAAAATGAATCACAAAAGAAATTGAAATCACTATTATAACACTGAAAGTGAGAAAGACTACACGTTGAAAATATAGTGGGAAAAGAGATTGAAAAGGTATATCAAGAATAGATATTGAAAACGATAAAGGGTGAATTTATCTATCCCCTCCTCACTGTAGCCCCAAACATAATGATCATACATAAAATTAACAAGTTGACAATGTCAAGAGACTGACCAGTTTAAGAAAAATGTCAGTCATAACTAAGACATTGAAAATTTAAGAAAAGTCATTTCTCTAATGAAACAGGTAACAAAAGGGTAATCAGTTCAATTCTAAATAAAAAGTTTCATTCATCATATCAATAGCATACATGTATCTAAAACTTCAAGTCTTTGTTGGTGAGTAGTTTTAAGATTAATTCACTTGTATAGAATACTATGATCAGTATTTCTGAACTACTATATATACTAAATATAAATCAATGAAATTATGTTTTCTTTTCTGTAAACTGTTATTGATATAAATTTCTGGTTTGATTCATTGAGCATCAGCCCCGAATGCCATGGTACAGCCGAGAGTGGAGAGAGTCAGCTCTCCCTCTACAAACGCTCTCACATGGCCACGTGCATACAACCACTGCCAGTGAAGTCCTACTCACTGACTTCTCGTGGCATTACAGTTGTTTTCGGAATTGAGAGAACGAAAAGCGAATGTCCGGCGCTTTAACCAGGTCGGTGAGCACGGAGGGTCCACCTAGGGAGGTTGGAAAACCCTGATCCCAAAGCAATGGTGCACATGGGCTCCATTTTGAAGGTAGTCATTAGTGAGTACATGATTATTATGGGAATATAGTTATGTGGAGATCATAAAATTTTCATTGGATCCTGACCAATTGATGTGAAGGGTAAGCATTCGTGGGTCGTGAGTTCGGTTAGCGAAAGTGCACTGATGAGGAGTCCCATCACGGAGAAAATATCAACTTTCGGATGCATGTACAGACAGCTGACTAGTCCCCAATAAGATGAAATGTGCGTCGTAGATTTCACTGCTAGCCACATTCCATTTACTTTTTTTTAAAAATAAATATGCGTGATAATCGGTTCATCAAGGCAATCCAAACAGGATGTACATATACCAACTAAGACTAACCAAATTTTAGTCAAAATATCAACAACGGAATAATTCATGTCACCACAATTTAAATGAATATAGGTGTTGTGGCTTTTTGCTAATAGGGTCGTAGATATACTATGAATAAATGTAACAGCGGACCTAATGTGAGTGAATGGATAAACCAGACGACTATATCATAATACTTAAACGACGAAAAAGATAGTGAATATTGGATTTCAGGATAAAAAGTAATTAAATGAATAAAATTTAATATAAAACTAATAACATTATTGTTTTTAGGAAAAAAGCACAACAACAGAATATTCGTTTCGCTTATCTTGTTACTTATCGGCTAAATGTATTTATTTTCTAGTGTACTGACGCTGACAATTACTCATAATATGTCATATCAATCTTCAAACAGACCTTCTTCTCTCAAAAGTCATTTGTAATCATGTATCAATAGCTCATTCTAGGAAAGTTCCACTCAAGTGGAGAGATTATTTCGATAGGATTTAAGAGGCCAAAATAGACATCAAATGAATAAATCGAATTGGTGGAAGCGCAAAGTTCAGTTGGTGGAGTTGGAAAACCTAATTTCACACTATTAATGAATAATACTTCTGTAATCCTGTGGGAACGAATGACGTACAACCCTACTTTGGTCATCATCTACAGTAAAATAACATTTAGCGTTGTTCCGTTACCTTAAGGTCTAGAACTTGAAGTCAAAGGTGTAGCCTACAGACCAACGATTCAGCAATCAATTTGATTTACGGTTCTAAAGGGTTACTAGCATAACAGTTGGCTTAGACTTTATCGTGGTGAGCTTGAGTTTTAATGAATACCACTGCGCACTGCTGAGGAGTCGCACAATAGGACGAAACGGCCGTCCAGTGATTCCAAGTTTTCCATGGTGTTCTAGCTTCAACTGACTCATGATCTTGACCATTGAAATTACTATAATATCCACAAAAGCCATCTGATGTTAATGAATAGTTAACATATTCCAACTCATCTCCACTTTAGGTTAGACACTCAAGAAATATCATTAGCCGTCAGAGAAACTCAGTACACGAACATGTACTTGATAATCGATTAATATTAAATTAAACTATCTGAGTGGAATCAAAGGTTCGTATTTTATTTCATTTGAAACTCATCAGTTGAATGTACTTACATCACAGTGTTGTTATTCACATTGAGACTCAAACCTAGTAAGTTTCTTTTCAAACCTCAACACAATATCCACTGAATTATTGAATCGATATATCTATTCACTTGTTCAATAGATATGATAGTTTATATCATTATCAAATAAACCATTGATTTATCTTGGTTGTTGCTAATCATAACTAAATTTTAATGTAATCATTCTGAGATTACGAAATAGACAGACAGACAAAAAGCACAATTTTTCACGCGCGCGTGCGTGTGTCTATGAAATCAACTTACAACAGAATGACCTATTAACACGATATGTTCAGGAGGATTAGGTCGGTTAGCATATGTTCCTAAAATAGTATCGATCGCTTTATCCACAAAATCTAAAAGAAATTTAGAAGGATATTAATAATTGATAACTACCAGTTTGACGTTCAATAATTTCACCACTGAGAGCAGACGGTTCCTAAAATACAAACAAAGAAATAACTAAAATAGTTGAATCGATGAATTATTTTGTTGATAACAGTATTTATAACGAATTTCAATTAATTAATTTAAACACATAAACATTGGTACAAGGAAGCACCAAATAGATATGCATCACATAAATCATTCAATTTGTGTGAGGGCTGGGATACTGCTCGGGTGCCCAAACCGAACCACGTGGTTTTCTTAGGAAGCTACACACCTGAAGCATATGATCTAAATGTCTAAGCCAAAAGGCAGTGGAGCAACGTGAGGAGATGCAGTCCCATGGTAGCCGGTGACCATTAATTGGTTCATACGCCATTTGTTTCCTTAGGATCCTGAAAACCCATATGCACTATTGGTTTGAAATCAGGGTTTCCCAACTTCCCTAGGTGGAGCCTTCGTGTCCACCAACCCGGTTAAAGCGCCGGACATTCGCTTTTCGTTCTCTCAATTCCGTAAACAACAGTAATGCCACGAGAAGTCAGTGAGTAGGACTTCACTGGCAGTGGTTGTATGCACGTGGCCATGTGAGAGCGTTTGGAGACGGAGAGCTGACCCCCCCCACTCTTAGCCGTACCAGGGCAATGGGAGGCAACAAAGTTAATTATGCTGAAAATCGAGATAATGAAACTCTTACAAAAAAATTAGTTATCCAAATAGAATTGAATTAAAATATAACAATAATTTGTTGAAGTTAAGCTCTACACATAAATAAGATGTCGCTTATCTAGTAAGTTATTTGATCAATAAAATCTACATAGGAATAGGGATTTTTTTAATGAATATTGATTTTTATCACAAAGGTTTTGTGGAGATTTTAGTAATTTAATAGTTGAAAACCTGGAAGCCCATTCATGTCTGGTATGCGAATTCTTAACCATTAAATGACTAAGCTGGAATCCAATAATCGGCATGTTTAACTTCAATAAATTCGTGATATTGAACAACCGTTATCTGATACACTAGTGGGTTACTGCCTCCCTACTGACAAAATTGAACTTCACTGGTCATGACTTCATATCGGAAATCTATGAATTACTTTTGGAAATTAGTCACTAGTAAGCACATCGTTATGATTAATAGAGAGGTGACTGTAGTTTGTAGTTTGCGATACAGACGGAACTTTTGTGAACAAAACAACAACATATAAAGACGACAGGTCAAAGTTTACTATACCGTCAAAAATAGATCAAAAACTCACACTGATTTTTATGTTTCAGTTTCTGACTGATCAATAGTTAGATTTCAACACAATTTTAACTCAGTAGCATAAGACAGAGATCAATCAATAACTTGGTGTATAAACACGATTTACGATATCATAAGATTCAACTGTTATAATCAACAAATGAAATTAATTTGCTGAGTTACATAACCATTCTCTTTTGAAATAATATTCTCCTTTTAATCATCTTACTGACACAGTCACTAACACTTCAGTATACTTTTAAATAATTTTTATCTCACTATGCTGATATAGCGTGACAATTTGGACCGAAATGCATTTGTTCTAAGTTCCTAATACTGCTTGTAACAGACTGCCCCCAAATGCCCTGGTACGGCCGAGAGTGGGGAGAGTCCGCTCTCCCTCTCCAAATGCTCTCACATGGCCACGCGTATAAAGCCTCTGCCAGGGAAGTCCTACTCACTGCCTTCTCGTGGCGGGGGTGTTGTTTACGAAAATGAGAGGACGAAAAGCGAATGTTCGGCGCTTTAACCGGATTCCAAACCAATGGTGCACATGGACTACAGTATCCTGCGTAACAAATGGCGTATGAACCAATCGTTGGTGGCCGGCTACCATGGGACTGCATCTCCTTATGATGCTCCACTGCCTTGTGGATTAGACCTTCAAGTCGAAGACTTGGGGAGTGGCCCCTAAGAAAACCACCTGCTTCGGTTTGGGCACCCGGGCAATATCACAGCCCTCACACATATCGAATGGGATTTGTGTGGCGCATATGTATTTGGTGCCTCCTTGTACCAATGTCTATGTGTTAAAATAAATAAATAAATTGTAACAGACTAAAACCGCCCTAACTAACAAATATAATTTAATTACTGAGTTATACACCTATCCCTTTCTAACGTCTTCTCTTTTTAGTTAAATACATAGAAAAAATTTTTCATGTATACTAACTAACTAAATTACAAAACATTTATGCCGCGAACTGATCTGAGCTAAAATATCATTGAAAACCTGTAAACACTGGACGACCATTTCGTCTTAGCATATTACTATTCAACATTGCACATATACTACCTCGTGCACTCAAACGCTTAATTTCTAGAACACTACGCCAGCATCCAAATGTAATAATGTTTGACTTCAACTAATCTTTCATCTTGAGCAACCATTCGTTCATTATTATTGTTATTATTAGTGATTATATCATACTTAACATATTTTTCCTTCCTTAAGTTTCGTCAATAAGTCATCAACTCTATTAATTTCTATAATTAAAATGTTCCTCGATCTCACGTATACACGTATATAGAGCTTCTAATGTGCCTGTAATAAACAGATGAACACTAGAATAGTGCGTCAACACCTGAACTAAAGATAGGGAGTGAAGTAGTCGAACGCGTCGACAACTTCACTTTTCTTGGAAGTCTGATCAGCCCTAATGGGCTGGTATCGGACGAAATCTCAACACGGATTCGAAAAGCTCTCTCGGCTTTTGCCAACTTACGTCACCTGTGGCGAAGGCGAGATATCCGTCTATCAATAAAAGGACGAGTATAGTGCGCGGCAGTCCGTTCTCTTTTACTTTACGGCAGCGAAACATGGCCTTTAAGAGTAGAAGACACCCGTAAGCTACTAGTCAGTCAGTCAGTCAGTAACAACGTAGAACTTCGTACGTACGTACATCAGTTCGAGTTGCCACACCACATTAGCACAGAGATGCAGTTGTCGATTCAAATCCCGTAGTGGTAGAGGTAGTAAGAGTATAAGCAGTAATCGGGAAGATTAGGGTTTGGAGATGTTATTTAAAGAGTATAATCCAGTGAAATAAATTTGGAAAGAGGAAAAAAGGGACATGAAGAATTCAGAAGATTAGAATTTGGGAGAACACAGAGAGTGGATGCACCTGCGCCATTGCAAACGATTTTGAGCCATGTCATTCAGGGTCTCTAACCATCGGTTGCTATCATCTCGCGGTCCCCAACCAGGTAGTCTACACCTACCAACATGACTCAGTTCACTTGTCAGTGACTTCATGGACTTGTGCCATGTTTTGGTTTGGCCGCCCCTAGCTTTCTTCCAACCTACTCCTATACCACTGAACATAGCACGTCGAGGCAGTCGGTCGTTGGGCATACGTAACACGTGTCCCAGCCATCTCAACTGATGAAGTTTCACTACTTCATCAATTGATTTGCCATCCTTACCTAGTACCCGTTTCCTAACAACTGTGTTACTTACTCGATGGTCCCATGATATACGAGCAATGTTTCGAAGACACCTATGATCAAATACTAGTAACCTACGAATATCCTCTACTCTTACCGGCCATGTTTCACTGCCATAAAGTAGGACGGAACGAACTGCTGCGCAGTAAACACGTCCTTTGGTTGATAGACGGATATCTCGCCTACGCCATAAATGACGCAAGTTGGCAAAAGCTAGTCGAGCCTTCTGTATCCGTGCTGAGATTTCGTCACACACTAAACCACAAGGGCTGATGAGACTTCCAAGATAAGTGAAGCGGTCGACACACTCAACTACTTCACTCCCTATCACTAGTTCGGGTGTCGATGTAACCCAATCCTGAAGCAACATTTTGCATTTCGAGGGAGAGAATCGCATCCCGAACATGCTTGCATTGTTGCTTAGAGTGGTCAGAAGACTCTGCATTTTGTCAGCGTCTTCACCAAATAAAACTATGTCATCAGCATATTCTAAGTCAACAAGTGAACCTCCCGGTAGAAGTTCAACCCCTGGAAATTTAGATGAGGAGAGTGTTATCTCTAAAAGTACGTCGACCACAAAGTTGAACAAGAATGGGGAGAGTGGACAGCCCTGACGAACACCACTTGAGGTAATCAATTCTGATGACAGTTCGCCATAAGCTCTCACTCTACCAGTTGTGTTCGAGTAGAGAGCCTTTATAAGGTTAATGTACTTCTTTGGTACTCCTTTCAGTGACAAACACTGCCATAGAACCTCACGATCAACAGAGTCGAATGCCGCCTTAAGGTCGAGAAATACTACCATTGTGGGGCGTCTGAATGTGTGTCTGTGTTCTAGAACCTGACGTAGTGTGAATATCTGATCTATACAACCACGTCCAGGTCGAAAACCAGCCTGGTTTTCTCTAATCTGCTCTTCACGAGCTTTGATTAGGCGTCGAAGTATTATTGAAGCTAATATTTTAGACACTATATTAGTCAAACTGATTCCTCTGTGATTGTCACAAGAGGACTTTTGTCCTTTCTTATAGACTGGCACAATCAGTGATTGAGACCAGTCAGATGGGATTACGTCCAGTTCCCAAATTCTACCTAAGACCTCAGTTAATCTCATTGCTAATACTGGACCACCATCCTTAAAAATCTCAGGAGTAAACCTGTCAGGGCCTGCTGCTCTCCCTCGTTTCAGATTTCCTATGGCTTTTTCAACTTCGTAAAGGGACGGAGGACCTACATTAACTTGCCATTCAGGTTGACTGGAGATCGTGGGAAACCGAAGTGTGGCTGAAGGCCAGTTGAACTGATCCCTAAAGTGTTCTGCCCATCGATCCAATCTCCTGGATTGAGAATGAATAATATGTCCATCTTTCTCTGAGATTGTTTCGCTAACGGTCGGGTTCCTAATTCCGGTTTCCTTAACGAGTCTGAACAATTGTCTGCTATTACCTATTGCCGCTGCCTTTTCCATCTCTCTTGCTTTCGCTACCCACCACTGTTCGCGATCATTGCGTAGACTTCTTGTCAGCTTGCGCTTAAGCTGACTCCGCTCTTCATTATGTTCAGAGCCAGGTGGAATGAGTTTCCGAGCATCTATCAGTGAGATAGATGCTGCTGAGATCCAGTGTTGCTCCCTAACCTTCTGGTTTACCTTACTAGCAGATATCACTGCTGTTTCCACAGCTTTTCGGATATCATTCCATGCTGCATCGGGGTGGGCATCACATACATGGCTGCCTAACTGTTTTCCTAGTTGTTCCTGAAATATACTCTTAGCTTGACTATCATTAAGTAGGCCCTAAGAGGTTTCCTTGCAGCGTCTTTCCTACGTCCAGTAAGACGCAAGCAAATACGCGCTCGCACTAGAGCATGATCTGAATCTAGGCATGTGCTCCAGAATGAGCGACAGTCTTCTATCGAGCCCCTCCATCGGTGGCTGATAGCGATGTGATCTATTTGGGTCCAACGTTGGGACGAATTAGGGGGTCGCCATGTTAAAAGATGTTTTTCCTTATGCTTAAAGTTAGTATTTGCAAGGAACAGGCGGTTATCTGAGCATAGCTGCAACAGACGGTCGCCATTATCTGTTCTTTGAGCCACGACACCATAAGATCCACCTAGGTGTCTTTCCTTATCACTTAGTTTACCTACTTGAGCATTAAAGTCACCGGCCACTATTACTACATCCGAGCGCCTAGCTTTTCGGAGAAGGTCCGAAAGCTTTCTGTAAAACTCATCTTTTACATCATCTGAGCTGCAGTCAGTGGGAGAATAGGCAGAGACGACGAAGAGGCAACGACGAGTGTCCCTATCTTTCCGGATTCTTACTGTTCCGTTCAGTCGGACAGCGCACAAACGACTGTCTACTGGGATCCACTCTAAGAGAGCTAGTTCTGCCCTAGGACTCAATGCTATACCTACGCCGGCGAGGCCACGGGAAGCAGAATCAGGGCTTCCAGATACACGAAGCGTAAATCGAGTCGGTTCTTTATTTTGGCATGGTGAGGTCAAATGAATGACGCTACTTGGATCCTGTATGCGCGTTTCGGAGACGCAGCACACATCGATGGCGCGAGATTCTAAAGTTTTAGCTAAGGAAGCCTGCTGTCCTATTTGGCAAAGTGTTCGTACGTTAAAAGCTCCTACGTGTAGTTTAGAGCGTGGTTTCAGGAGACCAGGAATGGCGTTCCACGTACTCGAATCGTTTGCCCTAGCGGTGCGAGGTGATAAAGAGACGTGAGGAGGGTTAGTCGGGAGGATAAGAGAAGTATTAGGAGGTGTAGGAAGGATTTGAATGTGACCACCTTGGTCTCTTGTGCTGTTACGGGTATGAGGGCTGATGTCACTTCCCGGCTGCCCACACCGTGGAAGGGTATTTCTTGAGGAACCTGAAAAGGAAATTGGATTAGTGTTGGTCTTGACGACCTGGGAGCGTGACCGCAGAGCCCAAGGGACAACTGCTTGAGGCCGGTCGCGCACGGCCTTTTTGTGGAAGGTTTTTGACGTGTTAGCTCCGTTCTTCAAAGGGCCTTACCGCCGGAGACGGAAATCCGTGAGGTAAGGTGAGGTGTGACATTTTTAGGGTCGACCTTTTCTAACCCCACCCCTCCTTGTGGGAAGGCAGCATCGCTGTCATGCTGGTTGTCCGAGGGAAACACCTTACTGCTGTCACACCCTCTACAGTCAGCAGTACGACTTCGCCCTCAGACCTTGAGTTGCTGCTTTTAGTCTTACCGTTCACCAATCGACCTGCCTGGCATGGTAGAACCTGCAGGAACATATGTTCCAGCCAATATAGCTCGGTTGGGTCATCACGATAGGCAAGCCCGACCACCGCGTCAAGGTAGCAGCTTCAATCGGGAGCAGCTACTAGTATTTGACCACAGAGGCCTTAGAAATATTGCTGGCGTCTGTTGAGATCACCGGGTAAGTAATAGTGAGGTTAGACGCAGGGCACTAGGTAATGATGGTAAATCAGTTGATGAGGTTATGAATCTTCATCGACTGAGATGGTTGGGCCACGTATTACGCAGATCTGAACACCGATTACAACAACGTGCAATGCTAACCGGTGTAGGGGATGGTTGGAAGAAAGTTAGGGGCGGCCAAACCAAAACGTGGCATCAGTGATTGAAGTCACTAACTTCTAGTCTGAGCCATGTTGGTAGATGCAGACTACTTGGTTGAGGTCCACGTGACTTTCGTAACCAATGGTTGGAGACTCTTGGTGACATGGCTCAGAATCGATCGATCACAATGGCGTAGGTGCATACACTCCCTGTTTTCCTTTAAACTAAGAGATTAAAATCACTTCATATCTTTCTTTCTACTAACTAATTCTTTCTTCCTGTATTGTATCCTTATATGCAATCTTTCTCCTATATATTACCACCTTTGACCTAACCACTCCCATGAATCCGGTGTTCATCTTGCTGTGTTAATGCGGTATGGCAACCTGGACCGATGCATATATGTGCCTGGTACTACGTTGTAGCTGAATGACTGACTGAGAATAGTAGAAAAAAGCATTTCTGGAACATAAGCCAGTTTTCACCAACCAGTAATTCAATTATTTCCACTAAACTTGGAATTACTCAGTAATATGCAATCAAGTAAATATTATTTGATCTAATTTCTGATATTTATTTTAAAGTTAACAGTTTTTGATTGAAAAAATAATTTTAAGACGAACATTCCTAATCAACACTTCATCTCAATAATACTAATAACTGATCATTCACACTAGTGACTAGTTGGCTTTAAAATAAACTATAAGTTTCAGTCAAATGTGGTTGATGAAGTTCAACTATGTTAACGGTTAAACATGTCACTAATGGGGCTAAATAATCATGACAAATTACTGATAATTAACTGAAGCAGGGAATTCCAAAGATTGAAAGACAATTAAACGGTTAAAAAACATGTGCAAGATATATATATTAGTTCTTGCTAGTGACTAACTTCGAAAGGTAGTTTCGGAGATTTTTTGAGAAGCCGTGTTCAGTGGAGTCGAACCGTATCAAGTGCAAGGCAGTTACCCAACAATGACATTGGGGGATGGCTGTGCGATATTATAAATTGATTGATTTCAAACATGTAAATGGTCGTATATTGACTCAGTAGTCTAGAGGTTGTACTCGCGTGCGATGCATTTGGTAAATCGTCTCAGTTGTTAGATATCAATGTCATAATTTAGTGAGACATGAAACCGATTACTATGGTACGTCATTAGATATTGGTAACCGAGGGTGTGAAGGACCTAAGTGATGCTCACTGACAGGTGGTCAGTCCAAAGGCTTAGTAACTATCTGGGATCTCCAGTTGCTTTATGAAACCGGGATTAGAGCACTACTTTGTCACGACTTCATCGAGTGTTAGGTTCAAACCTTCAAATAAATATGTGAAAGATGAATTATTATATCTTTGCAACTGAGTTTCTGAGGCAATGTTGTTAAAATACAGTCAGCATAATATTCATGCTCACCAATACCGAGCACCCGCAAAAACAAGAGGGTTTTCCATGCACCCCTATGTTCAATGTATCACCTTAACGCTTGAAACATGTACCGAAGATATCTTTATGTTCAGGATTGTAAATGAATACTGGAATGCTGTTGGAAGCTTTTTTAAGAAAAGTACATGATATCGTGAGTGGATTGAAAGACTGGTTATCAAACAACTGGGTAGCAGTTGCAACCAACCACATTTGATAGACACCTAAGCCCCTCTGATGTTATGAAAGGATTCTATTTAGCTGACCAACCGAAATCAGGATCTTGAGTCTGCTTCTCGATCGCTGCTGCTATGTTTCCGCTTGTTTGGCGCTCTTAGTGAACTTCACCAGAAATCAAGATCTAGGAACCCTTTAAATTTTGATTGAAATCTCAAATCACTACCGGAATTTAGATAAAATGAGACAAGTCCAAGTCATAGTGACCCATCTTATAAACTATCGGTGCACATTTCCATGCACCAAAGTCTTACAACATTTTTCATAAAATAAAATGAATGAGCATTTTATTTTATCAGCTACTGAGAACTTATAGAACGACATATATATGCATACGTGTATCTAATCAGTGTAATAAAATAAGTATATACATCCCCTTACTTCATTGAAATCAACACTGTAGTAATCAAGTGATGAACTATATTGTGCAAAATTATAGACAGTTGTTGCTAATGATCTGACTGTCTTGAAACTTCCTTGAGAACCTGTAATAAACAAAACTGGCGAATTGTAGAGTCCGGATCTAAAATAAGCATTGTAAAATTTTGTGAAATACCGGAATCTAGAACTGAAGAAAGAGAAAAAATAAATAAACACAATAAAATGTTTGAATGTACCCTTCCCGATATTGATACAGGGCATAGCCTACGTAGCATTTCCGTTGGCAATCAACATTGACTTCCTAAAGATAAACTATTCAATAAAAATTTACTTTGTATTCGGGAAAACTCATCATCCGAGTGAGTATACATCTATTGGATTCTGAATCTGTGTACCAGTGAACACCACTCCACAGCAGTAATAACACCAGGCATAAATTTATTGAAAAATATAATGTCTTTCCAATCGTACGGTATCCCATTTTTAGTTAAATAGGTCGGGCTAAAGTATGTAAAAAATAATAATTTGCCAAATATCTTTATTATCTGAATATATCATTTGAAAAACAGTAGAAAGAGAATAAGCGCGGAACAATTATCACTTTTGATAAGTCTACAGAAAAAATACAAAAATTAGTCAACCTAACCTTTTTCAATGAACAAATGTTTCCTGATCGCAGATGTGATTATTCAAAGGACCATCCCCCGACCATAATAAACTACGTACAACACATACTAGGGTCGTAACAATTTACTTTACGATAAGTCAGTATTATCTAAAATATGCTGTTTATATGGCTAAGACTTCACCATCAAAAAACTTAACGTTGTGGCGTATATTTGGCATAAATTGAGGAGCAACGTTAGCTGAAGTAAGACACAGGATCACTTCAGGAGTCTAATTAATGCTGATTTAGTCTTCACAGATCACTGAGTTAACGCTTGTGAGATAATCATAATCTGTCGCTGGAGACTAATTACTAAAATAACAGCGAGTGACGATATAAACTACACATCTCCGCAAGACATCTGAAACGGTATCCCAGCACCAAAAAAGTCATAAATAAATGAAGTGATTTGCTTTCGTCCATTAAAACATCAAAAAAAATTACAAATGGAACAGTGAAGTATTTGGAAGATATGTATATATTAATGTCAAGAAACTATACTAAAAATTGCAAAATTCAACTCTCTCAATATCCTATATTTTAAACTACGACAAAAGTTTATGAATTCGCACTCCTGATGGTTAAGAACAATGAAGTAGTTGTTGAAACAAGAAATAGTGATCCAGAACCGGCTTTTTGGTCGTTTACTGATAACCATAGTAGCCTAATTTAGTGTCCCGCGATGGGCTCAAGCTAAAGACTGTGAAGATGAAGATTGTTGAGCGTGTTTTCTTACACTCAATTTTCGATTCTACGATCCCAAAAACTCATCTCGAAAAACAAATAAACCCAACAAGGACAGGTTAGCGAATTACCATTGTCTAACGCAGAGAATTAACTGAAAGCGGATCAAAAGTGTCATAAACCACAAAGACCACCAAATACGGTGAAGTAATCGTCTATAACTCTCCTGGTACTTGGTATGAGTCTATAAACGTTAAGATACGACAACTATCAACCTATCAATTTTAGGAGCTCCTGCCTATGGTGACTTGAAATATTTTATATCATTTCACCTATCCAGACACATTCAAATACTTACTGAGAATTCGTTACGCACCATTGTTTATACACAACCAACCCATATAATATAAACGTTATAATGGATAACTAGATGTGAACTCACTTAACTATCTTCCAAAATGGACATTGACATGGTACTGAAGGTTATTAGGACGATGATAACCAAACTAAGACTTCAGCTTATGCTAAAGTAGTTCAAAATATAAGCAACACAATGGGACAAGCAAAACACTAGAAGCTTTTAAATGCCTTACAGCTTTCATTTTCTGATATCGCGCAACATGAGTAAGAAAAACAAAAAGTACAATAGCAGACTGTATAGTCCCAATTTCATACAATATTGCTCCAAAAGTCAGAAATACTTGCCATGATATGATATCGAACTGATTCAAAGACTTTTAAACTACTGATGAATTCAAACGGCCGAAGTGGTTGATGACGTAATGGAAGAAGCCTTTACTTATTATACCTTCGTTTCTGGTAACAATGGATAACCGGTGCCTCTAGTTACTGACCTTGATAAATGTATAAAGAGAAATAAAGGAGATGTTGGCCAATTACTGAAACTTCACTTTGGGTACTTAAAAAGACATCATTGCTCCCTATTTAGGGACTGCTGGAAGGTTTCTTAAACGGCCCTAAATGTTAGTAAACCTCAAGGTTTGGCTAACTTTGGGAATCAGAAGCTGTCTTCAGTTTTCTGTTGGTTAACTTTAATACTATTTTGTTCCTTCCAGGTTTGTGTTTGTGCTGAATTTAGGCAAGTATGCTACAGGTGATATATCCATCAAATGTTTATAGAGAGGGTCTAGGTATATGAAGAATTGATTGGTTCAAATCCTTCAGTAAAAGGGACACTTTATATAGACCGAGCTGATCTTCACCAGACACTTGAAAATATCACATGACTAGAATGAAGGCATCCCAATTAATACGAAATTCCTTATATGGTAAGTTTTGAGAAGTTACATTTCAGAGCTTAATTATTCAACCTTATAAAAACGCGTCAATAGTTGATCACGAACACTGAACCTCTCCGAATATATGACGACTAGACTGACTTTGATATAAGCTACATTAATTGCCCCAGATGTCTCCAGGACGCAGTCAACACAGAATTGTCCATTTTTCTCCTTCTCGGGCCTACCATATCGAACCTTCAATGGTGATGATACTGTGATACTGCAATATTCAAACAAGTATCAAATTAGTTTAGATACTCTCAATGAATTAATGTTTTCCTCCTGCCCTACTTTTAATAGTCTTCTTGTATATCATTATATGTGAAAATTATATTTGAAATAATCTTAGCGACTGAAAACTAAAATGATTCCAACGTCTTGTCTAGCGGACTTGTCTGAATTTTGATTATTACCCTGAGGAAATCCAGAAAACTTCGCCGGACGAAACGTTGTAATTGTTTTAAAGTTCAATCGCGGAGATTATTTCAAATATAATTTCCACAAATAATCACTTCTCTATATTCGATGCCCAATATTTTGTCAAACTATTGACGAACTTTCTTGTATGTTTTCGCAAAACCTCTCTCTCACCACAAATTCTCAACATTATTCACAAAATATAGACATGACATGACCGTCTAGTAAATGTCATTTCCCGGCAAAAAATGAGAAAAATCATCACACGGGTGACCTACAGATTCTGAATATGTAAGACATTTTAACAACAGTGCATACTTGAATTTCAGTCGATACAACTATTTAATTTGTATCCCCAAGCTACACATCTCAGTCTTACTATGAAGTTACCTGGGATAATATGACAGCCCAACGTTCGTAGTATTTTTTAAGTTATGTCATCCGCTAACTCTCTAGCATCGACATCCCTAATACTTCGTCCAAGCTACTCCATTTCCCTAGTGTGCTCCGAAATAACACGTTGTTAAAATGGAGAAATAAAGTGAAGACAAATCGTGACCAAGTTGATGCTCGTATCATCATCACATAGACCCATCATATAGGCAAAAAGTAGACAATTCGACGTGTAAGTAAGCGTAAAGCATACATCTCCACGTGTTATTGGGCAAAAATTAGACATTTCAACAACATTTCCAACACAAAGCGACAAAAAGGGGAAATTTTCTCATAATTTCCTCATGACAGACGACAAGAAAATTTTTTCCGAGTTTCCTCTTTATTCCCCCTTACTTTCCTAAGTAATATTACATTTTTTCCTCCTTGTTTGCCTTTATTTCTCCTTTGTTGATCGCTTGCACCTAGCCCAGTGAAGTATTCGGAAAGCAAATCTACACAACTAAGGTAGTTGTGGAATATAATACTACCACTGAAAAGTGTGCCAGATAGGTTAAGTATGTGAAGCAATTAGCGATTTTCCAGATGGCGATACAAAATTCCTAAATACTCAACTGGCAAAAAGTTGCGACAATGTCGAATTTGTTATATCCTGATGAGAATAATGAAAAGTGACTGTTGAAATCTATTTCTGGACTAATACTATACGTATATTTTTATAATATAATTTTTGAATAAATAAACCGTTCGTCTCCGTGTTCCTCCTATTATTATTATTACTTTTCACAAACATCGTATGGTTACGTAAGCGTTGTGAAGAAACCATTTCAAGCTTCTTTAAAAATGCAATAATACACGAGCTTAAATAATATTAGCACTATATTTGCCATATTTGAAAAAGGCAGTAATAATAATAGAATGATAATAATAAATCAGGTTCTGTGTAATTGAGTTTGAAGAAGGAAAGGGAGAAAATAAAGGAATAGAAATAAAGGAAACGTGAAATACGCAAATAGCTAATTAGGTGTGTTTATGAACACAGAACAAGAATAAACGACTATGTATGTATCGTCAAATTAGTAAAAAATAAAATAGAAAATAATTAAGTAAAAATAACTTATGATTGCAGTAAGTTATGGCGCTAGAATAGATGTTTGCGCAGTCATATTTTGGAGCGATGCTATGAAAGTCACAATTAAGTAAAAAGGATAACCAAATATCAATATGTATGAGTCATACATACATAGTGAAGATAAATCGAGTCTATGATAATATAAAAACCCCTTACTGCACTCGGATAAATACACGTAGATTTATGTGACAGTATACAGAGTGGAACCAGATGTTAGTATCAAGAATGATGCTATTAAAGTCACAATTAATTGCAAATAATAATCAAATACAGATTTCTGTGTTATGTATGTGTTGATGATAAAATGAATCTGAGAAGTTAATTTGTTTAAGTGTACGGTGAGATAATTTGTTTTTAGTTTTAGGAATAATATAGGAATAATATATGCTTAGAATGATAAGAAGAGATGAGAAGAATATCTAATGTAATGAGGGACCAATAATGATATTAATAACGGTAATAATTATAGATGCGAACATAAGCAGATGTCAGACATTGAAATGAATAGTAATAAAATAGACGTGAAAAGTTTCAAAGGCTACATTTTGATTTTCAGTCAATTACACGGATGACGGACTTGTTTGTATAAATCATTATTAAACACATTGGTATTCAATAGGTGACACAATCCTTTTTTGGAAAGAAAATCATCAAGGAGACTTCTGAACCGGGTTGTAGTTTCACTGCAACAGAGGTTCACTGGCAGTCTGTTCCACATTGTTGAGTGGCGAATAACAAAAAAATTCTAGCGTACGTTTGAGCGGGTTCTTAGAATCGCTAGAATATTTTCCTTATTGCGTAGATTGTGGGATGATATCATAGAGTAGGAAACATCGTTAATCAGCCGGTAGATAAAAACAGAGGTTCTAATTTATGTTCTTGACAAAGTTGGTGATAGTCTTTGGAGTCGGAATACCCCAGAACAGCTTTGGTGAACCTTCTCTGAACACCTTCAATTTTAATCAGGTCATTATGCCTGCAATTAATGTAAACTAAAAAGCCATATTCAGGAATGGGTGAGATACATTCTTTGTATTATAATAATCTCTATTCGATATCATTGACGTTTGCCATTATCAATCCGATCAGCTTTCTAGCTTTGGATACTTGAGATATAATGTGTTCAGAAAAGTTCAGACTGTTGCTATATCTTAAACTCAGGTCACGAACAGTGTTGAGAGGTTTGAGTGTATGTGTCTGTACAGTCAGATTTAAGTTAAGGCAGCGACCAATGTGAATAAATCCACTTTTTTCAACACTAAGTGGCAAATTTCACGAAACAGTCCATACGTATAACTTGTTTATTTCTTCTTGGATTAACGCTGAAACATAGCATTCTTTCGTGGGAGAAGAGGATAAATAAACTACTTTTAGGTCATCGGCAAAAAGGAAGGTTTGCTATACTGAAAGACAGAACACACGTCATTGATAAAAGGAGAAAGTGTAATGGACCGATTACACTTCCTTGTATAACCCCACTGGTTATGTTCACAGGTTAAGAGTAGCAAGAGACAAAGAAAATGATCTGGCCACGTTCTTCTAAAAAAGATTTGAGCCAAGATAAAAGGGGATTCTGTATGCCAAATGAAGAGAGTTTTAGAAGAAGAAGTTTGTGTGAGACACTGTCGAGAGCCTTACTAAAATCGAAGTAAAGAATTATCGCTGACTGACCAACATCTCTCCTCTGGGCAATTCGGTCAAAAAAATTCCATGTGCGATGTGGAGTATGAGCGTTTAGTCAGAAATCCGTGTTCGGATGGGCTAATCAGACTTGCCGAAAGCGAAAATGATAGTAGCTGTTTGTGGATGATTTTTTCCATGGTTCTTGAGAGCACGGATGTTAAATTAATTGGCCTACAGTTAACAATATCACTACGTGATCCTGTTTTGAATCTAGGGGTGATAAGAGATGGTTTCCATACAGATGGATAGGTCCCATATCCATAGATAGGTTGAAAAGTTTCAGACGAAAAAGTGGGACTGTAGTGGCATTGGACCATAACCACACAATCCTCAAAGTTGAATACGAGACTACTCGGAAAATAGATATTCAATATTTAACGCAGAGAAATACCTAACGATACAGAAGGCGGGAAGAATGGGTTGAATGAATTGGAGTTGATCGGATTGCACGGCTTGGCCATGCAGGCGTGGTCCCTATTGAATGTTACCTTATATCTTCTATTCATATTAAATATATTGTTCTTTCTCTAGCCTAACCTTGTTCTCCATCATGTATGGGTAATTGTTATGATACAGTGAGTTAGTATAGACGATGATGTGACTTTCACATAAGATCTTATAGATTAGGCAGTTATATCATAACAAACCTACAATTTTAGGATTAGGTCTATTATTAGAGCAGTACTAATAACGAAGTAGACCA